CAGCACGCGGAAGGGGCGGGACATCTCTCAGACAACTTCAAGGGAGGAGGGAGGGCACTATTCATATTGTTTGATTATGACGAGGAGGGAGGCAAGTGAACAAACTAATGAAGCCATCCTCCTCCTCACCCCCTCTTCCCTGAAGGGAGAAAGAGAGGAATGGGAGGAGGGGGAGGGGGGAGGGGCAAGCTAGGTGCGCCAGCGTCACATCTGACGTCCTAGCCCTTACTCCCATTCCATACCATGGCGTAGAAATCTGTTCTATTCGCACAGTCGGAAATGGACTGGCTCTGCGGCCTGATCGCGATGTAGAAGGGCTGCAGCGCGGGAGCGAGGCCAGGATCGAAAACGGGAATGAGGCCACCGCTGCAGCCAGAGCACGATTTGGAAGGACCGCAGCACTGGAACGAGGCCAGCGCTACAGCGACAGCGCTACTTGGAAGGACCGAACACGCCAGCGCTGCTGCGGGAACACGACTTGGAACAACAAGAAGCGCGGGAACGAGGCCAGCGCTGCAGCGGGAACACGATTTTGAACGACCGAAGCGCGGAAATGAGGGCGGCGCTGCAGCGGGAGCAACATTTTCGAAGAACCGCAAACGACTGGATTGAAAAAAAAATCGGGAAAACCAAATAATGAAATCAAAATGCGCGGGGAGGACGGGGGACTCTCCGGACAGAGTCAGGGGAGAGAGGAGAGCAGTACTCATGTTGTGCAGTTGTGAACGGGGAGGGGGGAGGGGGAGCGGGGAGGGCGAAGGCGGAGGGGAAGGGGGAGGGGGAGCGGCAAGCGGGGAAGCGGGGATGGGCAAAAGGACTTCGAGGACTGGCAGCTCGCGCAGCTGGTGTCTGCGGCGCCTGCCGGCGCCAGGGCGCCGTTGCATCGAGGGAGGCGCCCAGCGGCGGGAGCCGAAGGCTGGCGGCAAGCAGCAGACGTTGCACCCCCCTTCGTCCGCCGCCCCACGAAGGGGGGGGCTGGAGGAGGAGGAGGAGGAGGAGGAGGAGGAGGAGGCTGTAGAAGGGGGAGGAGGGGGAGGAGGAGGAAGAGGAGGAGGAGGAGGAGGAGGCCTTGTATGGCTTCAGCTGCCACACCGTCCTGGCCCCCTCAAGGGCCGCGGACTCGCCCGAGGGCGGCGCCGCAGCAGCGGCCGCCTCGCGGGGAAGGGCCAGGAGAGAGACATCTGCTGGGAGCTCCTCCTGCCGCTGCACCTCCTTTCACATTCTCCTGCTCCATTGGCTCATTTCACATTCTCCTGCTCCGCTTCCCCCCCTTCCCCATTGGCTCCTCCTCCTCCTCCTCCTCCTCCTCCACCATCCCGCTTCCTTTCAAATACCTCCCTGCTGTCGCACCCCCAGATGTGCCGGTAAGGCGGGCCGCGCGTTTCGCCCGAGGCTTCCTCCTCACCATGTATACTCCTGAAGCGTTAAGCTTGCAACAGCTTAGCGGATGGAGGGCAGCTCGTTTTAAAAATGTGGCTCTCGCCTGAGCGCCGCGCACATTCGTCATCAAAAGGTGAAACCGCTTCACAAATAGAGGGCGGGTCCGTTTCAACATGTGGCTCTCGCCTTAGCGCCGCGCACGTGCGCCTTATAAGTGTGCTACAGCTTCACAGATGGAGGACATGTTCTTTTTCAAAATGTGGCATTTTCTCGTCTTCAGAAGGGGCCTGTTTAACAGATGGAGGGCGGGTCGCTTTCAACATGTGACTCTCGCCTTACCGCCGCGCACGTGCGCCTGAAAAGTTTGTATCAGTTTCAAAGATAGAGGTAAGGTCCTTTTTAGAAACGTGGCGCTCGACTTAGCGCTGCGCATAAGCGTCTGAAAGTCTGCAACAACTTCACAGATGGAGGGCGGCTCGTTTACCAAATGCGGCGCTCGCCTTAGCGCCGCGCACATTCGTCTTGAAAGTGTGCAACACGGGTTCGCATGGCTGAAGTCCCAGGAACGGTGCTCTAGCAAGGCTTACGGCTGCCAGGGCGCAACAGTCACGTTGATCCGCGGGGTTGAAATGCCAGGAGTGGTACCCTTCGGATCGCCAGGACGCAACAGTCACGTTGATCCGCGGCGATGAGGTCCTAGGATGTGCGTGCTGGCACGAATGGGTATTCTCAGACGGTTGTCTTCTAATGGGCCACTTCCTGCAATGAAGGCGACTTGTGGGGGCCTGTGTAGAAGGAGCTTGGCGGGAGGGTGCCTTGCAACATCGTTGAAGCGCCGTGGGTTTACACTGGTCCTCCTCCTCCTCCTCCTCCTCCTCCTCCTCCTCCTCCTCCTCCTCCTCCCCCTCCTCCTCCTCCTTCTCCTCCTCCTCCTCCTTCTGCTCCTCCCTCTCCTCCTCCTCATCCTCCTCATCCTCATGTGTTTCCTCTTCATGGTCCTCTGCTTCCGTGTCCTCCACCGTCGCCTCCTCCGACGCCTGCGCCTCATCCAGCTCCGCCTCCCGCTCGTGATGCCCCCTTCGCCTCCATCCTCCCCCTGCTCCCTGGGGCCGTCCTGAAGCGCTCCTGTGGCCTCTATGTAGAACCTCGTCTGGGTTTGAGTCAGGGCCGCGGGGGAGTCGAGACGTCCACCGAAACGTCGCCATTGAAGCACAAGCAGCGACTGAATCAGGCATCGAAAGAGCAGAACATCCTGTATGGTGTTCCGTTCTGCGTTTTCCGAAACCGCCCGGGAGGCTGATCGGGCCCTCCCGTCAACCGTCTGGCAGCAGAGCCACGCACGCGCGTGCGTCGCGCGCTTCGATCCCAGCCAGGAGCATGCGTGCACCCGCGAGGCATGTCGTCTGAGAATCCATCGACCCCCCCCCCCTCCACCCCAACTTCGCGGTCCTGAACAAATCACCCCGCTGGCAACCCAGCCCGCGGGATTTCTCGTTCGGGGCCTCCCCAGGCATTCGTTTTCTGGCCCCGCCCAAGTCACCTCGCTGGCAATCACGCACGCGTGATTGATACGTTTGAGGGAACCCACGCCCCTCCAATCCCACCAGCCCTCTGGGCCTGGGCCTGGGAGGGGGGGGCCATTGGAGCGCACAAGATGGCCCGAGATTGCTCCAAGAGGGCCTCAACGAGCCCATGATGGCATCCGAGATGGCCCAAGATAGCCGAGCACGGTTCAAGATCGCCTCTGACATACCTCTGAGAGGCCCCAAGGCAGCCCCAAGACTGTGCCAAGTGCCCTTCGAGCCTTTTCTAGGCACCCTGAGGCCAAAATCCTTCAAACACCTAGGCAAAATCTAGACGTTTCGCGTACCCCCACCAGTCCGTCCGGAAATGAGTCCCAGGGGAGTGGAGGTTATGAGGGAAGCGGGGGAGCATACAGAAGAACAAAGGGCGGGGTGAGCCGCCATATACCCCAAGAGGGGGAGGATGTAGGAGGAGCCGTCGTCGTCGGAGTAGGAGGAGAAAGAGGAGGAGCAGGAGGAGGAGCAGGAGGGGAGGAGGAGGAGGAAAAGGAGGAAGATGAGGAGGAGGTGGAGGACTGCGAGGACGAGGAGGACGAGAAGGAGGAAAAGGAGAAGGAGGCGGAGAAGGAGGAGGAGGAGGAGGAGGAGGAGGAGGGGGAGGGGGAGGGGGAGGAGGGAGGAGGAAGAAAAAGAGGAAGAGGAAGACGAGGAGGCGGACAATGGCGAGCTTGGGGGCCTCTTGGCCCGTCTGCGGGGACTCTTGGCGGTCCTGGGGGCCTCTTGCGTATATCGGGGAGCCTCTTGTGGCCTCTTGGGGGTCTCTTGGAGGCCTCTTGGAGGCCACTTGGGGGCCTCTTGGGGCCTCGTGGGGCCCTCTTGGGGCGCTCTTGGGGCGCTCGTGGGAGCCTTCGGGGCGCTCTTGGGGCCATCTTGGAGGAGATCTATCAAAGAAGGGGGGGTCGTATATTAGCGCTGCCCCTCTATAGTGCCTCGGATCGCCTCTGAGGCCCTTCTTGCGGCCAAACCTCTCCCAAACCTGAAGACCATGTGTTGTGCTTTTTCGCTGTTTCGCTCTTGGAGCCGTGTTGGGCCATCGTGGGAGCCTCTTGAAGCCACTTGGGGGTCTCTTGGGAGTTTCTTGAAGGCCTCTTGGGGGCCTCTTGGGGCCTCTTGAGGCCCTCTTGGGGCCCTCTTGGGGCGCTCTTGGGAGCCTTGGGGGCGCTCTTGGGGCCATCTTGGAGGAGATCTATCAAAGAAGGGGGGTCGTATATTAGCGCTGCCACTCTAGAGTGCCTCGAATCGCCTCTTGGGCCCTTGTTGAAGCCAAAATCCGTCCAAAACCTATGAAAAATAATTGTGTTGTGCTTTTTCGCTTTTTCGCTCTTGGAGCCGTGTTGGGCCATCGTGGGAGCCTCTTGAAGCCACTTGGGGGTCTCTTGGGAGTTTCTTGAAGGCCCCTTGGGGGCCTCTTGGGGGCCTCTTGGGGCCCTCTTGGGGCGCTCTTGGGGCGCTCTTGGGAGCCTGCGGGGCGCTCTTGGGGCCATGTTGGAGGAGATCAATCAAAGAAGGGGGGGTCTTTTATAAGCCGTGCCCCTCTAGAGTGCCTCGAATCGCCTCTTGGGCTCCCCAAGAAGCCAAAATCCTTCCAAAACCTAAGGATAATCAATGTTTTGTGCTTTTTCGCTGTTTCGCTCTTGGAGCCGTCTTGGGCCATCTTGGGCGTCCCAACGACCCGCGGAACCCCTCGTCCAGGTCGGTGGGGGGTTAAGGGGAGGGGCAAACTCCTCCCCGAAGGGAAAGAAGGGGGTTGGCAGAGGAAACGCTCTAGACCACCTACACCCTAAAGGGCTGGTGGGACTCGACGTTGTCTGCCTTCTCGCGCCTGCGCGTCCGTTGGGCCTGTGGGGCCTCAAGATGGCCCCGAGACGGCCCTGGAGAGCCCCACGAAGGGCCCGAGGGGGCTCCTAGAGTGGGAGTGCCCAAGAGCGCTCCAAGAGCGGACCAAGAGGGCCCCAAGACGCCATAGTTGAGCCCCCGACGCAGGGGGGAGGTGGGGGGTCAAATTCAAGACCCTGTGTAAAAAAAAACCTTTCTCGGCAAACAAAACATAACAAGGGGTCGGCGGATGTGGCGTAAGCCTATAGAATCCACGTCCGGAAGTTACGTGTTGCCGGAGGCAGGTCGCGGAGCGGAGCGGAAGCCCTACTGCAACGTATCCAATGTATCCAATGATTGCGTAATTGCTACATATTGCATTGTGTTACATTGTTATCTCTCCCCCCCTACCCCCCCCCCCGGAGTCGCGCCATTTCCGTCGACCCAAAGGTGGAGGGCCCCTTGGGGGCCTAAAAACCAACAAAAACCAATGGAAAATCAATGATTTCGGCTCCTTGGGCCTCCTGGGGGTCCAAGAGGGCGTGAAGACGGCTCAAGATGGTCTCAAGACGGGAGAGGACAGCCACCAGACAGCCCAAGATGGCCCCAAGAGGGCCCAACGCGCCCCCAAGATGGCACAAGAGGGCCCCAAGAGCGCCCACCAGAGCGACTCCAGAGGCCAAAAACATAGATTTCCTTTAGGTTTTTGAGAAATGTTAGGGTTCTCGCCTTTCCCGGATCTCAAAGGCCTATGACGGCCCAAGCAACCTCCAAAAGAACCCCAAGACAGCCCAAGAGGCACCCAAGGGGACCCCAAGACGGCCCCAGAGGGCCCCAAGACGGCCCAAAGAGGACCCCAAGACGGCCCAAGAGACCCCCAATACCCGAAGGAGCCAAACAGCGCAAAAGCGCCCCAAAACGGCCCAAGACTGCCCCAGACGTTCCCGAGAAGCCCCCAAGAGGCCCCCAAGCTTGCATAATGCCACGTAAAGTACTGTGTTACATTATTATGTCTCCCCCCTAACCCCCCCCCAGCGCCACGCTACATCCGTCGGCAAAAGATCGTGAACTCATTTTGGGGCCCAAAAACCTACAAAAATCTATAAGAAATCAACAAAGTCGGCCTCTTGGGCCTCTTGGGGCCCCAAGAAGCAAAACGGCCCAAGATGGCCCCAAGACAGCCCATGACGGCCTCAAGACGGCCCAAAATGGCCCCAAGAGGGCCCATGAGGCCCCCAAGAAGGTCCCAGAGGCCCCCAAGAAGACTCCCGAGAGCGCCTCCGGAGGCCCAAATCTTCGATTGACTTATAGTTTTGGGACGCCTTTTTCGGCTCTCAGAAAGCCATGACGACCCAAGCAGCCTCCAAGAAGGCCCCCGAACGGCCCAAGAGGCCTCCAAGGGGGCCCCAAGACGGCCCAAGAGGGCCCCGAGACGGCCGAAAAAGCCTCCAAGACGGCCCAAAAAGCCCCCAAGACGGCCCCAGAGGACCCCAAGAGAACCCCAAGGCGGCCGCGAGAGGCTTCCCAAGTGGCCTCCGAAGTGGCCAGACGGCGTAAGAGCGCCCAAAGACGGCCCAAGGCGTCCCCAAGAGGCCCTAAGAGGCTCCAAAGAAGCCCCCCAGAGGCTCCAAAAAGCCCAAAAGAAGCTTCCAAAAAGCTCCCAAGAGACTCCCAGGAGGCCCCACAACGACTGGAATGAACGTGCTCTGAAACACCCTCTGCGAGTCACTAAACAATAATATCCCGCCCTGGGCGAACCGCGGCGCAGCGCCAGCCAGATGGAAGTTGGTCACGGCGGCGTCCGTGATCAAAGCCAGCGCTGGAAAGGGAGGAGGGGGAGGGGAGAAGGAAACGGAGGGATGGCGGGAGGCGGGGGGGAGGGGTAGCAGAGGCACAGAGCGCCCCAGAACAGCCCAAAACGCGCAAGAAGGGCCCCAGGAAGCTCCCAACAGAAACCCCACAGACGCCCAGAAGGCGCAGCCCAGAGGCCCCCCCAGAGATCCCCTGCAATCCGGCAACGACTGGGCTGCACGTGTTCCCAACCTCTGCACGGAACACATCGATTGCAATCTCCTCATATGCTATCCAGAGATCCAGATGACTCGCGACAACGTGGCGCCATATGTTTTACAGCATTTCCTGGCAACGACACGATAAGTGGCAGCGACGACAGCCCAAGAAACCCCCAAAAAGCCCCGAAGAGGCTCCAAACAAGCCCCAAGATGCCCGCAAGAAGCCTCCACAAGACCCCAAGAGCTCCCAGGACACTTCCAAAACGACTGGACTGTGCGTGCTCCGGACGTGCAACCCGCGAAGCGAAAGGAATCCACGTCCGGAGGTGACGTGTTGCCGGAGGCAGGTCCGCGGAGGCTATAATGCAGCGTATCCAATGTATCCAATGATTGAATAATTTCTACATATTGTATTGTGTTACATTATTATGTACCCCCCCTACCCCCCCCCAGGGGCCACGCCATTTCCGCCGACCCAAAGTGGCCCCTCCCCTCCTGGGCCTAAAAACCAACCAAAACCTATAGAAAATCAATGAGTTGGGCCTGTTGGCCCTCTTGGGGCCCAACAAAACCTCAAGACGGCACGGGATGGCCCCAAGACGGCCCAAGATGGCCCCAAGACGGCCCAAGATGGCCCCAAGACGACCCTACAAAGACCCCAAGACGCCCCAAGACGGCCCCCAGAGGACCCCCAAGAGCACCTCCAGAAGCCAGAAACCATTGATTATTCAATTGTTGCTTGAAGATTTCAGCGTTCCCGCCTATTTCGACTCTCAGAGGTCCAGGACAGCTGAAACAGCCTCCGAAGTGGCCCCCAGACGGCCCAAGAAGCCTTCAAAAGAGCCCCGAAACGGCCCAAGAGGGCCCCCAGACAGCCCCAAGAGGCCCCCAAGACGGCCCAAGGGTACCCCAAGACAGTCTCCGAAGGGACCAGACAGCGCAAGAACGCCTCCAAGATTCCCACACGGGGCCCCAAGAGGTCCCCAAGAGGCATCCCAAAGGCCCCCAAGACGGCCTCCCAGACGCCCCCGCGAGGACCCAAGAGGCCCCAAAGAGGCCTTCAAGGGGCCCCCAAGAAATTCCCAAAGGCCCGACAATGACTGGACTGTACGTGCTCCGGACGTGCACCCCGCGAAGCGAGAGGAATCCACGTCCGGAGGTGACGTGCTGAGCGGCAGCGAACGTCTCAATGCAACTTATCCAGTGTTTCCAAAGATTGCATAATTGCAACATGCTGAATTGTGTTACACCATTACGTCTCCCCCCGTACCCCCCCCCCCCCGAGGGCTGCGCCACATCCGTCGACCCAAAGTGGCCACCCCCTCCCGGGGCTCAAAAACACACCAAAACCTTTTAGAAAATCATTGATTTCGACCTCTTGTGCCTCGTGGGGGGCCACGAGGGCGCCAAGACGGCTCAAGATGGGCCCAAGGGGGCCCAAAAAACCCAAATGACGGCCCAAGAAGGCCCCAAGAGCGCCCACAACTGCGCCTCCAGAAGCCAAAGCCCTTGATTTTCCTATGGTTCGGCGATATTTCAGCGTTCTCGCCTTCGCGGCCCAAACAGCTTCCAAAATCGCCCCAGAACACCCCAGGGCCCCAAGACGGACCAAGAGGGCCCCAAGACGGCCCAAAGAGGCCCCCAAGACAGTCCAAGAGGCCCCTAAGACGGCCCAAGAGGACCCCAAGAGGGCCCCAAGGCGGCCGAGAGAGGCCCCCAAGACGGCCTCCGAAGGGGCGGAAAAACACCACGACGGCCCTGGACGCCCCCAAGAGGCCCCAAGAGGCCCCCAAGAGGCCCCCAAGGAGTCCCCAAGAAGCCTCCAAAAGGCCCCATAGGAGCCCCCCGAAGCCCACAGCGACTGGAGTGTACTGTCATTTTTCCCCCCTGGGCGAAGTGCGGCGCAGCGCCAGCCAGGTGGAAGTTGGTCACGGCGGTGCCCATGATTAGAGCTGGCGCTGGAAGGGGATATGGGGAGGGAGTATGAAAAGGAGGGAGGGGGGAGAGCGCAGGAGCGCCCCCAAGACGCCCACACGGGGCTCCGAGAGGCCTCCAAGAGGCCTCCCAGAGGCCCCCAAGAGGCCTCCCAGACGCCCCCGCGAGGACCCAAGAGGCCCCAAAGAGGCTTCCAAGGGGCCCCCAAGAAATTCCCAGAGGCCCGACAACGACTGGAATGTACGTGCTCCAGACGTGCCCCCCGCGAAGCGAGAGGAAATTCTTCTGTGACGGCCCCGAGGCCCGGCGAGGGGCCCCCGAGGCTGACAACGGCGACAAGCCTTCCGTCGTGATTCTCTCCATGCCTCGAGGGTGTCTGGGAGTGGACGTGTAGAAATGTCGTCGCCCGGCGTTCACAAGGGCTCCCAACGTCGCGCTTCGCCCTGCGCGAGGCGCGAAGTGCGGAGAGCTTCGCGCCCTCGAGCCGCCCCCCTCCAAGGGAGGGGAATCCTCCTCCTCCTCCTCTCCCTCCTCCTCCTCCTCCTCCTCCTCCTCCTCCTCCTCCTCCTCCTCCTCCTCCTCCTCCTCCTCCTCCTCCTCCTCCTCCTCCTCCTCCTCCTCCTCCTCCTCCTTCCTCCTCCTCTCTCTCCTCTCCTCCTCCTCCTCCTCCTCCTCCTCCTCCTCCTCCTCCTCCTCCTCTCCCTCCTCCTCCTCCTCCCTCCCTCCTCCTCTCCTCCTCCTCCTCCTCCTCCCTCCTCCCTCCTCTCTCTCCTCCTCCTCCTCCTCCTCCTCCTCCTCCTCCTCCCCTGCGAGAGCCCCAGCGCGGCGGAGGCGGCGCAGGGCCTCGTGGCGCAGGGCCGCCCGCAGCACGCCGTCGGCCTCCGGGCGCTCCCGGCCCGCGCCCTCCAGGAGCCAGGCCAGCGCCAGCCGCAGGCTCTCGCCTCGGGGATCTTCTGACCCGGGTCAGTCCAGACCCGGGTCAGCAGGAAACCAAAAACTGCAATGCATAAAAAAACCAACAACAACAAAAAAAAAAAAGCTGCAACGCAAGTCTTCGCAAACCCGGGTCAGCCAATATGTGCGGCCGCCTCGCGGCCACGAGCGGCTCGCTAACCCGGGTCAGCCAGAGGGGGTCTTCGCAGGATCCTGCAGGATCTGGCGCTCTGGCTGACCCCCTTTGCATTGACCCCCGTCTCAAGGCTCCCGATCGCCGCCGCCGCGCACGCCGCCAGCGCGCAGCCAGGCCCACTCGCGGGCGAACCTCGCCAGAGCTCCGACGATATATTGACGAACGAACAACACACACACACACACACCTTAGGAGGCAACTACTGGCAGGTTTTCGTCGGGAGGATGCAGGAGGATTGAGCCCCACTGGGGGGCTGTTACGCCAGAGTGGGCCTCGGCTCAAGCGGGATTAAGCCGGATTAAGCGGAATGAAGCGGGAGTAAGCCGAATGAAGCGGGATTAAGCGGGATTTGGACCGGATAAAGCGGGATTTCGGACCAGGGCTAAATCAGAATTTGACCTCCCAGGAGTTGCATCCGAACACACCCATACCCAGAAAGGGGGGTCATTGGGAGGAGGGCTGGCTATGGGTATGGGTGCGGGCGGTCGGACCCCGGGGAACGCTCCCGTTCGAGCGGGGACCCCCAAGCGACAAGACGCACCCGTGGCCCTCTCCGACTCCCCCATGGGTATGGGAGCGTGGTGCTGGTTCGACAGACATGTAAGTCGGGCCTGTCCCTCCACGGGAAGAAGATTCAAGCATAGTAGCAAAAAATAGCCTGGGGACGATTTCGGGACTATTCTTGCCTCACTATGTTTGAACATGTTTTACCTACCTCTCGGTTTTCGCCCAAAATCCGCCTGTAGGAGGACATGCCCGACCTGAGACGATATTCGGCGGCGAGCGAGGGGGGGAGTGAGAAGGAGGAGGCCTTCTCAGAAGGCGGCGGGGCTTCTCAGGAGCCCTAGCGCCTTCTGAGAGGTGCTCTGCGTCTTCGGGGAAGGATGAAAAAAACTTCTCAGAAGGCCGGGGGCCTTCCTAACCTTCTGAGAGGGCCTTCTCTTTCTCACTTCCCCCCCTCGCTCGCCGCCGAGACATGACTCGTTCAATCCAGGCGTTTCTCCTCAATATATAAACTTAGGTCGGGCGTGTCCCCCTGCAGGCGGATTTTGGAGGAAAAATAACAGAATCCGCCGATCCGGCGTGTGAGTTTAAGAAAGCTACAACCTGAGCTTCAGCTCTGCTGGGGGGGGGCCGGGGGGGCTCTGCCGGGGTAGGGGGGGGAGGGGTGGGGGGTCATCGGGTCCACCCTTTCTTTCCCCCCCCCCAGGAATCCCAAACCGCCCCAAGACGGGCCAAAAGGGGCTCAGGAGGCCACCAAGACGGTCCAGGAGGCGCCCGCAACGGCACAAGAGCGCTCCCGGACGCCCAAGATGGCCTGAAGACAGCCCAAGAGGCCTCCAAGACGTCTCAACGAGATCCCAAGAGGACCCCCAAGAGGGCCCCAAGAGGGTACAATAATAAAGTTGCTAATAGAGGGTGCAATAATAAAGTTGCTAATAGGTTTTGAAGCATTTTCACATTATCGCCTTTTCCGCCTTTGAAGCGCCGAAGACGGTCCAAGAGGCCCCCAAGATCGCCCCAAGACAGCCCAAGAGGCCCCTTGATGGCCTCAAGAGGGTGAACCCGAACGGACCCTTCTAGTCCTCGACCCCAAGATGACCCCAAGAGCCCCCAAGATGCCCCAGAGGCGCCCCCAAGGGGCCCCCAGAGGCCCCAAGAGGTCCACAAGAGGCCCCCAAGAGGACCCCGAGAGGCTCCCAAGAGGCCCCGAAGGCCCCCAAGAAGCCCCAAGAACCAAGAGGCCCCAAGAGGCGCTCACACGCGTGCTGCCAGGCCAGAGGTGCACGGCCTGACTTGGTATTACTCGGAAGCGAAAGCGATGAACGAAGAACATTCCACCCGTCGCCGTCACCGGTCGTCGGTCGTCGGCCGTCGGCAACCGTTCGCCGTCAGTCGTCGTCGTCGTCGTCGTCGTCGTCGTCGTCGTCGTCGTCGTCGTCGTCGTCGTCGTCGTCGTCGTCGTCGTCGTCGTCGTCGTCGTCGTCGTCGTCGTCGTCGTCGTCGTCGTCGTCGTCGTCGTCGTCGGTTCGTCGTCATTAACTCCTTCGTCGTTCGTCGTCGTAATCTTCCCGCTCGTCGACCGTTGGTCGTCCATTGTCGTGGTCATCGTCCATTTCAACAACAATAGCATCAGGAGCGCCCCGGATCGGCGGCACTGGCCAGAGGCACTACAATAGTCAAACAAATATGCTCAAAAATTGCGAAAAGACTCCAAAAATCGTCCCCAGACCCTTCTTCGACTACTTTTGAACATTCTTCCTGTAGAGGGACAGGCCCGACTCAAATACAGAGCGACGAAATCTACAGACATACCACTGCTGAGGGGCAACGACAGGGGGGATAGGCATAGGGGGGGATGCATCAACCTGGAATCGGCGATACATCGTCGATAGATCGGCGATAGGCCTCCGATAGTGAATTCGCACCTTCCTGGGCAGGTTGGGGCTATCGGGCCCCCATCGGCGATCAATGGGCGATTGGGGGTCGATGCATCCCCCCCTATGCCTATCCCCCCCTGTCGTTGCCCCTGAACTGCTCCCTGGCCAGGCCCCGGCCGGAACCCGGCAGCGCCGCACTAACTGCACGGTGCATGCCCTGCCGGCTGGGCCGGGCGGGCGTACAACTGAGTCGGGCGGGTCCCCCTACAGGGGAAGTTTCGACGAAGAAAGCAAAAACTATTGCAAAAATACTCCAAAATGGCCACACACACACACACAAAAAAAAAAAAAAAGTGCTCCGAAAATAGTCCCCAGACTATTTTTTTTCCTATTTTTTGATATTCCTCCTGTAGAGGGGCAGGCCCGACCGACTTTTTAAGTGTACTAGCGGCACGGCCCTCCCGGGGGCCCTGCCCAGGAGGGCGCGGCCCAGACTCTCCCGACGCCGTGAGCTTCTTTCGTGGCGTCGACCCCCGGGTCATGCTGCTCCCGTCGTACTCAAGGACCACAGCCCAGAAGTCATTGCGAGCACCCAGAACCCAGAGATCCAACGCATTGAAAAAATCAAGACAGGGGGATTGCGCAGTTTTCGGCCTCGACGAGCCCTCACCGGGCCTCGGGACCGTCAAAAAACGACTCGGGATGCAAAACCGGTCCTTGGGAAGGGGTCGAGACTTCCGAAGACCCCGTATTGAAAAAAACACGACATCGGATCTCTGGGAAAGTGTCGAAAGAGTGTCGAAACAGTGCCGGACGAGTGTCTCTCCCAGGGCCCGACACGTGAAAACCCTCGAGTTTCGGTGCTTTCCCCCTGGTGCTCGAAATTCTTGCTGGTGGTCAAGGCTAAAGTAGGTTGGAACATCATAACCCCCGGGTCGGGGGCGGCCAGGAGGGGGGCGTCCAGAAGGAAGGGGGCGCAAATCGTGGCCGGCGGCATGTGCGCGGCCCACGGGGGGGGGGGGCCGGGGACGCAATGGAATAAGAAGAGGCGCCATGGAATCTGAGGAGACAATACCATGACCCACGCCATGATATCCGCCTCCGCCCCAATCGTCACCCCCTCTTGGCCGCCCCCGACCAGAGGTCGGGAGCAATTCCCTGGGACCGGTTTTTCATCCTGAGTCGTGTTGTGACAGTCCCGAGGCCCGGTGAGGGGCCCCCGAAGGCCGAAAACGGCGCCAAACCCCCCGTCGTGACTTTTTCATGGCTCGAGGGTGTCTGGGAATGGACATGTACAAATTTCGCCGTCCGGCGATACGGTTTGCTCGATCCGGACATCTTTCCTCGACGCCGACCTCACCGAGGGCGTTCCGGTGGGTGCCCGGGAGCGTCCCGATCGGCCCTGTGGGGGCCGCTCTGGGCCCCCACGGCCCCGCGGAAGAGAAGAGAGACCAGGGCCCCCTGGAGCCGCGCAGCGAACAAAGCACGTCGGAGGGCCCCGAGATCTGGGCATTCTGGGTGTTTCGAACTGGGGGTTTTTGGAGAAAGGAAGAACACCATAAACATCAGCTTTGGGCGCTCCTGTGGGGGCCGCTCTGGGCCGCTCTGGCCCCGCGGAAGAGTAGAGAGACCAGGGCCCCATGGAGCCGCGCAGCGAACAGATCACGTCGGAGGGTCCCGAGATCTGGCGCTGGCACTGGCACGGAGCCCTCACGTCACGAGGGACGGCCCTACGAGGGGCGGGGGCGGTCGCGCCTCGGCGCGGACAAATGTGTAAAACAATTTACAATTTACAATCAAGGGGGCCCCGAGATCTGGGCATTCTCTGAGTGTTTCGAACTGGGGGGTTTGGGGAGGAAGAAAGAGCACCATAAACATCAGCTTTGGGCGCCCCGCGCGGATTTCTTGGATCCGCGCTGGGCCCCCTGGCGGCGCCTCTGGCGCCGCCCCTGGAGCGCTCCGCGCGCCGTCCAGCGCGGATCCAAGAAATCCGCGCGGAGCGCCAACAAAAGGTTATGTTTATGGCGAGGCTTCTTCTTTCTTCTTCTTCTTCTTCTTCTTCTTCTTCTTCTTATTATTCTTATTATTATTATTTTTCTTCTTCTTCTTCTTCTGAGTTTCGCCTGGTTCCGGGACCCGGGGCCATCACAGATCGATCGGGCTCGAAGAGTGCCGCAGGAGGATAAAGAGTCTGGGGCGTCGGTCGCGCCTCATTACCATGCCGCACTTCTTCCGCGGGCCGCTCGCTTTGCCGAACGTGGCGCGCAAGAGTTTGGGGGCCGATCGCTGTGCTGAAAACGACGAAGACAGACTCCAGGAGTGGGGCCGAAGCGTTTGGGGTGTCAGCGTGGACCTTCCCGAGGCGTTCGATAGAATGCAGCACCCAGCATCACTCGACGCTTTATTTTCTCAGGGCGTTCATCCCGAGCGTCTGCGACTGTTATCCGATGTGTATGCTGGCCAGTGGCCAGTTTGGGACCGTCCACGGCAGCAAGCAGTTCGACATCAGCCAGGGGGTCAAGCAGGGGGACGTTTTGAGCTCGCTCCTTTTCAGCGCATGTCTTGAGCAAGCGTCACGTCGATTCAAAGATCGCGTCCAAGGCATGGGACTCGATCTTGGGTGACCGAGCTGTTGACCAAAAAGTGCTATGCAAACGACATATTGATTTTACGGTATTTGCCTGGACGACATTCCCCACGTGTTTGCCGCTTTCCGCGAGGAGTTGGCTCGGGGCGGTGTAGCACTGAGCGTGAACAAGACCAAAGTAATCACAAACGACCTTGTTATTACCTCACTCGAGGAGTCCGTGATACTGTATGTGGATTGTCAAAATCTGCCCGCGATGTTGAAGACAGATTTGTAAGTGGGAAAGCGTTTCCACGGAGATCTCAGAGAACGTGTCTCGTGCAATCTAAAGTACCACATGCAATACGCATGGTCCAAGGGTCACTTGTTCCAGACAATCTTCGTCGGTAAGCGAGTGTCGCTGAAGATGCGCTTGAAAGTAGTCGACAGCGTCGTCACGCCGACTGCCGTGTACAGTCTGGCCACAATGCCGCTGACTGCACGACAGAGAGCAAGAGTACCCAGCCTCCAGGTCGATGGGATTCGCAAAGCTGATCACGAGTCTCGGGAGGAGGCCGTGCGTCAATGCAAACGCAGAGCATAACGAGCAATGAGAGTTTACAGAGTATATGATCGACGCGTGGTGGTGGACAATACTCATTGGAAAATTATGTGGGATTTGCACCGGAAGGCAAGGATGGCCATCTCTAGCCTTGCGCTGGCGTCCTGAACGTTCGCGAAGGACCGGCCGTTCGAGAACGAAGCGGACAAATTCTGTCGATCATTCCTTCGGGGATCGCTTCAATGCCAGCTTGGAGCGTGTTTTGCATGACGCTCCTAGTAGACTGTCGATTGATTTTCAGGTCAAGGTGTTGTCACACATGCGCGAGCATTGGTGCAGCAATACACGTGAGGCGTGTTCATGATTTGCACTTTTGCGTTACGCGTGCTTCTCTCTGCATGAAGTGCGCCTTTTCCCGCAAGCGCGACGAGACTGGGGAAACGGAAAGGTATCGACACCGCTGCTCCCCGGACCTCTCCCAGCGTGCGCTCTGACCAGAATTGTTCGAAGCGAATCCAGCGCGCGACGGGGGCCCCTCAGGAGCTCCAAAGACAGGGGAAAACGAGGAAAGGGTAGAAATATATATATATATATGTATATATAAGTATATATATATATATATATATATGAATATATATATATATATATATATATAGATGATCCGGGCTCCAGGCCCACGGGCCCCCCCGGGGACGTCTCTCAGGGGGTCTCTCAGGGGACGTCCTCCCCACCACGCCACGCCCACAGGGGGGGGGGGCATCGCGCAGGGGGGGGGGGGGGCGATGGCATTAGCATTGGGGGGGGGGGGGGGGCCCAAGCCCTGGACCATGTATGGGCACCTCTTCCTCCCCTGAGAGACGCCCCCAGGGCGCACCATCGGACGTTCGCTGCCGCGCTTTTTTCGCGCGGGAGGAATCTTATGTCGGGCGTGTCCCCCCACAGGAGGATGTTCGACGAAACAATAACAAGTACCCAAAGACTCCTCCAAAAAGGTCAAAACGCACTCAAAACAGAACCCCCAGACTTGTGTGGGATTATGTTTTGTTTTGCTCTTTGTTTGGGGCCTTCCCCCTTCCCATCTCGGGCCACCCTGTGCCCTCCTGCCACAGGAGGAGGAGGAAGGAGGAAGGAGGAGGAGGAAGGAGAAGGAGGAAGGAGGAAGGAGGAGGAGGAGGAGGGAGGAGGGAGGAGAGAGGAGGGAGGAGGGAGGAGGGAGGAGGGTGTCTTGTCGTTCGAGGCCTTCCCCCTTCCCCTCTCGGGCCACCCCGTGCCCTCCTCCTCAGGCCCACCGGCCACAGGAAAAAATCGAGCCGCGGCAGCTCCGTGCCGTGGCGGCCCCAGCATGGGCCTCTTCTGACACCGCACGGACCGCTCCACCTTGAACGCTCGCGGCTTCCGATGTTGAAGGGGCCCCAGGACACACAAATAAATTCACAGAAATAAAAGGATCCCCCATATTTTCCTATATTTTCTGGGTTTTTGTCTTCCCCCCCACTTCCCATATTTTCCCATATTTTCTGGCAGTCGACGATTAATTGTGTCTGTGTGTTTTTTTCCCTCCTGAACGATCGCGGCTTCCGGTGTGGAGGTCTCCCATGCGGAGTCTGAACCGATGAGGTCGGAGGATCATGCCGCATCGCCGATGCATCGGCGATGCGTCGGCGACGGCAGGATGGAGAAGAGCGGGCTCCAGATGCCATCTGCTCCAGCCCCACTTGGGAGGCCTGGGGTACGGCGGGTTCGTTTCGTGATGGCCCTGGGCGTTGGTTTCTCACGCCGCGCCGCGTGGCTCCTCCTCCTCCTCCTCCTCCTCCTCCTCCTCCTCCTCCTCCTCCTCCTCCTCCTCCTCCTCCTCCTGTTCATTCATCATTGAGCAATCGCAGCTTTCTGATAGGCGGCGCTCGACCTCCAACGCCGGCGCTGAGGTCGCCGCCACGTCGACACGGCGCGAACCTGCACTATACTCACATGCTGCAAGGCCGTCCACGGCACAGCAGTCGAGGCCGACCGAATCGACAGCGAGGCTGAAAACGACCGAGATCGAAACGGCGGCAGCGGCCCGAAAAACGGCGCGGCACCGACGCCAGCCGACCGAAGCGAACGGGATCGAATGCAACCCACGGCGGCGCAGCCGAACCGAGCGAACCGCGGCCTCCCCTGAGCAGTGGTCGGGTCCCACCACCTACCAGACCATCCCAACCTGACCCGAAGACCCGAATCTCAGCTTGGGGGGGGGGGCACGGGTCCCACACGTGCACACGCGTTTTCTCAATGTTCCCCGCGACACCCCCACCACTGGAAGTGGAGGGCAAGTCGGGGCCTCTGGGGCGGGTTGGGGTGGTGTGGTGAGCGGTGAGGGCCGGGATGCCGCGCGGCGGCCCCCCACACCTCGGATCGCAGAAGGCGGCCGCCGCCGCCCGCCACAGCCACTCCGGGCCCACATCGGCGTCGATCACCACGGTGGCGCCACCCCCCTCCGCGTCGATCACCACCGTGCCGCCGTCGTCCACCCCCGCGGCCTCGTCCGCATGGCCAGCCCGCGCGGCCGCGGCCGCAAGGAAGACGAGGGCGCGCGGCGGCAGCTCGGGCGGGGGCGTGCCCGGCAGCGTGCCCAGCACGCGATCGAGGAGCAGCCGGAAGCGGGAGGGCCTCGGGGGCGGGCGCCCCTGCGCCGCCGCGTGCAGCGCCGCGCCAGCGGCGACGAGCGCCTGCCGGTGCCCGGGCCGCCCAAGCCCAAGGAGCCCGTCGCACCCGCCGGCCAGCTCCTGGGCGGGCAGCTCCAGGCCGCCCTGCTGCCCACCAGTGCCGCCAAGCCCCGCGGCACGCAGGCTCGGCGCGACAAGCGCCGCCAGCAGCTGGGCCGCTGTCGAGGGCTGCGCCCCGACAGGCGTGGCGTGCGCCAGGGGCGCCTGCTCGTCCTCACCCTGCCACGCCCCGGCGGGTGCCAAGAGCAGCGACGGCACAAGCCCGGCCAGCTCCTCAACGGTCTCCCACCACTTCGCAGGCGGCGCCTCTACGGCCACGAGCGAAGGCCACAGCGCGGCTGCCAGCGCCAGCACTGACTCAGGCCGCAGCGGAAGACCACCGAGACAACGTGCGCAACTGAGCAGGCCGCCCTCTGCGCCGTTGGGCGCCGGCGGCGCGACCGCGAAGGCGGACGAAGAGAGCAGCAAGCATATCGCCCCCGGCGGCTCCGGGGCCGGCGCCGCGGCTATCCGCGACAGGTGCGCGGCGCAGACCTGCAGGGCCTGGCCGAGTGCCTCTGCGTCGCCACCCTCGCTGCACCGCAAAGGCCGCGCGGCGAGTGCGAGGCCCAAGGGCTCCAGGCACTCCCCCGCTGAGAGGCGCGTCGTGGGCACGGATGCCCCACCTGTGGCCGGCCCCGCGTCGAGGGCGGCGCCGAGAAGGCGAAGCAGACGCCGTGGATCTAGCTGCGTGGGGCACGGCGCGTCGCAGAGGCGGCGCAGGCTGCCAACCGCAGCCCTGAGCAACTCCCGCGGGGCCTCCAGCGGGCCGTCGGCGGCTGAGACGGCTGCCCGCGCACAGGCATCCACCAGGGCATCGATGGCGAGACCGTGCATCCGGCGGAGCACGTCGGCGTCGTCCGCCAGGTACCCCAGTGCCCTGGCCGCCGCTGTGCTGGAGGCCAAGTCGTCGCAGGTGCCGCAGCAGTCGACGAGCCAGGCCGCGAGGGCAGCGTGGCCCAGCCAGGAGCCGCCGCACAGGCCCGGCGGCGCGGCCGCCGCGAGCTGCTCCGCCAGACAGGCGGCCGCGCAGCGCACGGCCGCGGCGGGCGACGCGAGGCACCGCGCGACGCCCTCCGCTGCGCGGCGCAGGCGGGCGCGCGGCTCGTCGCCCAGCAGCTGCCCGAGGAGCTGGGGGCGCAGCGCGCACAGCGAGTACAGCGCCAGCGTCCCCGCCGCCGAAGGGCCCTCGGGGCGCACCGCCGCCAGCAGCCGCGACAGCCTGCCGCCCGCCGCGCGCAGGTGCGGCTCCAGGGCCGCGGAGCCCCTCTCCGCCAGGCGTAGCACGAGGGCGGCGGCGTGCTCCGCCGCCGCCGCGCCCTCACCCTCCGCCATCGCGTCGACCAGGCACGCGAGCAGGGCGTGCGACGCCTCCACGCGCTCCAGGACGACGGCCGCGGCCTCGGGCCCGGCGCGCGCGAGCACGCCGGCGAGGAGCTGCAGCGGCAGCGGCGCCCTGCCGTGCACCGCGACGAGCGCCACCAGCGCCTCGAGGACGTCCCTGCACGCGCCGCCGGCGCGGGGCCCGGCCTCCTCTCGGGGGCGGCCAGGAGGGGGGCGTCCAAGAGGGGGGGCGCAAATCATGGCCGGCGGCACGTGCGCGGCCCCGGGGGAGGGGCGGGGACGTAATGAAATGAGAAGAGGCGCCATGAGAATCTGGGGAGATGCCATGGCCGCCGCCACGAGATCCCCCCCCCTAGTCATCACCCCCCTCTTGGCCGCCCCCGACCAGAGGTCCGGAGCAATTCCCTGTGGACGTAATGAAATGAGGAGAGGCGCCATGAAATCTGGGGAGGTGCCATGGCCCCCGCCATGATATCCCCCCCCCCCCAGTCATCACCCCCCTCTTGGCCGCCCCCGGCCGGATCCTCCACCAGGCACTGCACGGTGAGCCCGAGGAGGCGCCCCGAGCTCCCCAGCCCACCGCGGCGGCACGCACGAAATGGGCGCGGCGCGAGGGGCGCGGCCCTATCGGAGGCCCTGGCGCCGCAGCCCCCTCTCCCACTCCTGGGCGGTGTCGCCGGGCTTCGGGCCCTGGGGCCACATCACGGGTCGGCGCGGCTCGACGCCCAGAGACACGATCGCGTCGTAAAAAAAAAATCAGCGCGGCGAGTTTTGTCGCTACTTTCGGCCCCGGGGGGCCCTCGCCGAGCCCTGGGGCCGTCAAAACACGACTCGGGATGAAAAGCCGGCCCTGGGGAAAGGGTCTGGATCTCCGGGGACGCAGTACTGAAAAAATCAGGACGTCGCATGTCTGGGCAGGAAGCTGCAGAAGCGTGGGGTCTCCAGAGAGTTCTGGTCGTGCTTTCTCGCGAGGTTGCAAAGTGTGTCGCAAGGCCGGATCTCCGGGCCACAACCCCCCGTGGGCACAGTGCCGCCCGAGCCGCCACGTGTGATAGGGGTCTCCTAAATGGGGTCCGAGTGGGTGGGGGTCGGAAGAGCGCGTCGCATCACCGATGCATCGGGGATGCATGTGCAGTCTCGGCGATACATCGGCGCCAATGCATCGGCGATGCGATGCGATCCTCTTGCCCTCGGACCACATTTGGGAGGCCTGGATTATCAGAGCCCCCCTGGATTAACACGGCCTCGTAGAATCTACGAGGCCGTGTTTAGAAGCCCCGGGGCCCTTCTGAGAAGGTCGTTGCCTTCTAAAAAGCCCCTTGCCTCCTGAGAAAGACATGCCACCCCCCTTGCGGCACCAACTTGCCCAGAGCTACGCTACGCTGAAGGGGCCCTGGGACACACAAATAAATACACACAAATGAAAGGATTCCCCCATATTTTCCCATATGTTCTGGGTTTCTGTCTTCCCCCCCACTTTCCATATTTTCCTATATTTTCTGGGGAATCGACGATGAATTGTGTCTGTGTGTTTTTTCCCCTCCTGATACGCTACTCCCGCTCGGCCCGAAGGCCGTGCCAGTCTGGAACTTGGCCCGCGCCTCTGGCAACCCGGCGATTATGTGATCGTCGTGCATGGATTGCTGCAATACGTAGTTATTAAGGGCGCCCACAAAGGACGTACGCGCCCAGCTCTGTACATGAACGCGGCCCCTCGATCCGCGAGACTGGCCGCGTCATACGGACATCTGCGCAATGCGTACTCTCGGAACCAGCGTGGACTCATGAGCGTGCACGTCCTTCCTTCGCTCCCGATTCCTGTTTGCTGCCATACGGGGCCCCCGAAAGCCCCGACCCCTTCCCCAGGGACGGCTCTGCATCCTACTGGTCGGTGCTTCACAGCCTCCGGGGGGGCCCCGCGGGGGCCCCTGCGGAGGCCGACAGCCACGAAAAGTACATATCTATGTGTGCATGTATATATATATATATATACAACCAAAAAAAAAAAAAAAAAAAAAAAAAAAAACGTCGGTCGGAAGAAGTAAGTAGTAACATGAAGCAGGAAGGCGGATTGAGTTGATTGGGTCCAGGCCCCCCCAGGGAAAAACAAAACACAGCACAAGCGCGTCGATTCTTGAAATAGGAAGGCGCTTGAAGTAGATTGGGATCTGGGAATTCAAAAATACCTACTTTCAACGACCGGCGTGTATATATATATATATATATACAGATGGATAAATGGATAGAATGCTTCACCAAACAGCCCCCCGAAAAATCACGACTGGAGACCTGCAGACGGCCATCAATCTGCTGCATCTTTCGGGCCGGATCGCTCGGTGATGGCCCTGGGGCCCGAAGAGCACGTTTGTTGATTTGATTTACGGCGATTAACGAGCGTTATGGAGAGGGGTCGGGCGGGGGGGGGGCATAACGTAACGCCCCCCCCCCCGCCGTGCGGCTCCGGCGCCACCACAGCGTGCGCGCGCACGACGACGACGACGACGACGACGACGACGACGACGACGACGACGAGCGACGACGACGACAACGACGAGCGACGACTACGACGACACGACCAGTGAAAAAACTGCAGCGCCCGAATCTCAGGGCCTCGGGAGGCCCTGCCCCTCGCGGCCGCCCCGCCCGTGCGCGCCGCCAGCTCGTCGCCGCTCCCCGGCGCCGGCGGCACGTGCCCGACCGCGAGCGCCTCCACCGCGCGCTGCAGGAAGGGCGTCCGCCACAGCAGGCGGCCCGCCAGCCCCGCCGCGCGCGCCTCGGGCTGCAGCAGCGCACCCGCCAGCTCCTCTCGAGGAAATGGACAAAGCACGTTCCACTTCTCGCAGAGAGTGGCCACTCGCAGACGGCCTGGATCCCTTCAGTCGAAGCAGCAAGCAAGCTCCAATTGCATCGAACAACGGTGTTTTGGGGGGGGCGCTGGCGAGTAGGCACTTGCTCAAGAGGAATGGAACGCGCTCGGTGAGGGAAGAGGCACGGGGACCATTGCCGAGATGCCGCGAGATCTCATCGACGCCAGTCTTGGTCGTGGTTCGTGCCGGCCGTCGCTGATTCGCGAGGAGGCAACCACAAAGCTGCTCTGACCATCACTATACATGTGAGAAGAAGGGTTGCTCAGTTTCAGCCTGATGTCAGTTCCTAGAAGTCCATTGTTAGAAACATTGCGGGTGTAGACATGAAACAAGGACAGACAAACGGCTCAGAACCCAGAGTGCGTGTGAGGAAAATGCGGATTCCCATTTCGAAATTCACACTCTCGAGTAGAATACCACAGAAGGTTGACCTAGTCGGGTCGGGCAAGTAACCCCACCCCCTGCGACCGAATTCCTCCAGCTAAGGCTCAGCGGCGACAGAGGTGGATGATGGCCAAGACTTAGGTCGGGCATGTCCTCCTACAGGAGGATTTTGGACGAAACATCAACAGATAGTCAAACAATGTTCGAACATATGCCCCCCCCAAAAAAAGAAACATCGATCCCAGATCTTGTTTTGACTTGTCTTGAAGACTCCTCCTGCAGAGAGACATGCCCGGCTTGAGCCATGCTCAGTCTTCGGCACGGTCCTCGTTTGCTCCCCGCCCGTCCTCGACGGCCCCGGCCCTGCGGTCCTCGGCGGCGCCCGGGGAGGCGAGGAGGTCGAAGAAGCACTCCTGGGAGCAGCGAGCACGGCGGAGAGACGCGGGGGCGGCGCCGGAGGCGCCGCCGGCAGGGAGGGCCCAGTGCGCCGAGACAAGACTTAAAACGGGCGTGTCCCTCCACAGGAGGAATATGCACAAATAGGCAAAACATGATCTGGGGTCGATTTTCCCCAATCAGAGCTTGCCTCTGTAGGGGTCCTAACGGATTCATATGGTCAGGTTCGGTTTGTCGCCGATTTTCGTTGCACGCCTGGGTGCCCGGGTGCCGGGGGGTGCCCGGGGCCCGGGTGCCAGGGAGGTGCCCGGGGGTGCCCGGGTGCCCGGGTGCCCGGGTGCCCGGGCGTGCCCAGGCGTGCCCGAGCGTGCCCGGGGGTGCCCGGGAGTGCCCGGGGGTGCCCTATAGCCCTATAGCCCCAAGCCTTATAGCCCTATAGCCCTATAGCCCAATAGCCCAATAGTCCTATGGCTCTACAACTCTACAGCCCCATAGCTCTATAGCCCTATAGCTCGATAGCCCTGTAGCCCTGTAGCCCCCATAGCTCTATAGCCCCGATTGGGTTTTCTCTGGTATCATACTACTTTTGGTTATGTTTGAATAGTTTTGGGGGTACTTTTCAAGTCTCGCCCAAAATCCGCCTGCAGGAGGACATGCGCGGCCTAATCCAAGACACGTCCGCGCGGAGCTCCGACCGTTCGCCGACACCGTCCCCAGGCATGCGACGACTTGTTTGGTTCACGATGGGCGACGATCAAAGACGGGCCTCTTACCATACGCGAGACGGCACAGCGGCCTGATGCCGCGGCTTGCGCGGGCCACGAGCGCGGAACGCTGCTTTGGAGACGAGGGCGCTTACGGGCGATCTTACACGGGGAGATTACGCGCCAACGTCGGCGAAGACGAGCCCGCTTGGGGGGAACCAGAAGGAAGGGCACCAATACCGCCACTCCCGGGGCCTCTTCCGGGGCGCGTCCTGGCCACGATCTCGAGGCGAATCCAGCGGTGGCGGCGAGGGCCTCTCAGGAGGCCCAAAAAAGGAGGGAAACGAGAGAAGGGCAGAGAGGTATGGGCACCTCTCCGGGAAGGGAACGGGGGAGAGAAGGGAAGAGAAAAAAGGGGGAAGGGAAACGAGGGAAAACGAAGAAAGGGAAGGGACAAAGGGGGAAGCGAGGGAAGGGTAGAGGAAGGGAGGGAAGGGGGCAAATGAGGGAGGTAGAGGGAGGAAACGAGGGAAGGGAAGGACACGAGAAAAAAGGAGGGAAATGAGTTTTTTGCGCGTCGCTCCTGTCGGGTCCACGGAAGGCCCGGCCATTTCCCCGGGCCCGGCTTTGTGCCCTGGGGCCCCGCCGAGGGGCCCCCGGAGGCCGAAAACGACGAAAGACCTCCGCATCGAATGTTCCAAAACCCCCTCGGGTCAAGAAAAAATCACGTCGGGAGGTTTTTCGCCCGCTTTCCCCCTTCGCCCGTTTTCCCCCTTGTGGGCCTCCTCGGAGGCCCTCGTCGCCACTGCTGGATTTGCCTCGAGGTCCTGGTCAGAACGCGCCCCAGGAGAGATCTGGGGATCAGCGGTATCGGTACCTTGTGGCTTCCCCAGACGCCCTCGCGTCATGATAAAAATCGCGTCGGGAAATTTTTCGCTCTCTTCTGCCTCTACGGGCCCTCACCAGGCCTCGGGACGCCCAAAAAACGACTCAGGATGAGAAGCCAGTCCCGGGGAATGGGTCCGGACCTCCTTGGGGATCGCGTCATGAAGAAATCATGACGTCGGGGGTCTGGGTTTCAACACGTTGCGAGAAAAAGGCAACATCGCGAAGAATCACGATAGGGAGCCGAACTCCATGCACCGACGCTGTTTCCGGCCCCGCACTGAAACTTGCACGGGAAAACAGATCCTGGTGTATACGGGATCCTGGTGTATACAGTTTCTGTTTCTTCCTCGGGAACGAGGGGAGAAAAATATACACCACACCACCCCGACGTTGTCCCCGACCCTCCAAAACTCATGGGATTACAGAACGTCCCGCTCGAGCTTCCGAGTAGAAAAGAAAACGAGCAAGACAAAAACAAGACAAAACAAACAAACAAAAAACGCGGAGAATCACGGCCGGAGCCCCAGACCCCACATCTCTCTGCGGCATCTGCGGGGGGCCAGGTCGATCGGTGATAGTCACGGATCCCGAAACCGAGCGGAAACGCCCAGTGCGAAAAAGACTGCAGCGCCCGGAAGTCCGGCTTTTCAGGGGAGTCCCAGAGATGGGCGTCCAAGAGGAGGGGGCGCAAATCATGGCCAGCGGCTAGTGCGCGGACCAGGGGGGGACCAAGGGACGCGTTGAAATAAGAAGAGGCGCCATGAGATCTGGGGAGATAGCATGGCCCCCGACATGACATCCACTCCCCCTAGTCATCCCCTGAGATCCGACGTTGCCGAAAAAATGTAACTTCGTATAAAACCACGCCCAGAACCCTAGACCTCATCTTTCCACGTCATTGTTCGAGCCGGATCGATCCGTGAGGGTCCCGGGGCCCGAAAAGACGCGACAACGCCCGTCGTGAAAAAAATCCCACCAGCCCTTTGGGCGACAGGTGGTCTGACGAGGGTCTCTTTCCTCTTCCAAACCCTTCTTCCCTTCGGGGAGGGGAACCCTCCCCCTCCCCTCCCTGAGGTCAGTTTGGAGGGTTCGCGAGGTGTCGGAGGCTCCTTTTTCGGCCCTTGGGAAGGCCATTTTTTGCCACCGTTCACGAGGATCGTGGCCCCCGAGAGGGGGACGCAAATCGAGTACCCCCCCTCTTTTTACCGACCGCCTCCAAGATGGCCCCAAGAGGCCCTCCAGGGCTCCCAAGAGGCTCCTAAGAGGGCCCGAAGAGCACCCGAGGCCCCGAAGAGGCCCCCGAGCGGCCTCAGAGAGCCCAAGATCACCTCCAAGATGGCTCAGCCCAAGCTAGCTCAAGATGGCTCCCAAGATGCTCCAAGCGGCCCCAAGACCGCTCCAAGACGGCTCGAGATGATCACGGAGCCTCCCAAGCCTCCCTCGCTGTTTGACTACGCGTGTCTCTTCCTCTCCCCGTCAACTCAATGGCATCGTTTCTGGATGGGCTGGTGGGAATACTTTTTAGTCAGCGGCCGCGGGCGAGCGCGCCGGCGGCGAGTCCAGTCAAAGCAGGGCACGCAGCGACGAATTAACCTAAGGCGACGGAGGGTGGCCACACCTACAGTGGCAAACCGAGCCCTCACGCAGCAGCCCAGCGGCGGACCGGCAGGTAAAAACTGGTGGGGATACTTTTTTTGATCTGCGGCTCCAAGGACGACTCCAGAGAGCGGGTCAATCTCGACAGGGGCGCCAAGCGAGACGATTGGCAACGAAGGCACATAGGCCTCTGGTGGGGATACGCGAAGCGTCAAGAATTGCCACGCCAGGATCTCAGGGTTATCCCCCTCGTTGCCGCCCCCGAGCTTTGTGCCGTGGTTTTCCAGACCCCCCACGTCATTATTTTTTCATGACGCGACCCCCAGAGGTCCGGACCCATTCACTGGGACCTGCTTCTCATCCTGAGTCGTTTTTGGCCGTCACGAGGCCCGGTGAAGGCCCCCACTGGCAGAAGAGAGCGAAAAATCTCCCGTCGTGATTCTTTCATGACCCGAGGGGGTCTGGGGAAGCCAAAAGTTACCGACACCGCTGATCCCCAGACCTCTCCTGGGGTGCGTCCTGACCAGGATCTCGAGGCGAATCCAGCGGTGGCGACGAGGGCCCACACGGGGGACAACGGGCGAAGGGTAGAGTTAGGTCGGGCGTGTCCCCCTACAGGCGGATTTGGAGCGAAACATTGAAAATACCCACAAAATATCCCAAAATAATAACAATTTCTCGAAAAATCGTCCCCTGACTATGTTTTGACTATTGTTGAAGATTTCTCCTGTAGAGGGACGTGCCCGTCCTGAGGGTAGAGGTATGGGCACCTCTTCCTTCTCTGGGGGTCTTGGGTTCGTCGTCGAGCTCCAGGCACAGCGGGTCGCCAGGGCGGCCCGGGCGGGTCACCTTCGGGGGCGTCCAACCTGCCATCGCTCGGACGTCCATTTCCTGTGTTTTTTTTTGTTTCGTGCATGGTGTTTTCGCCGAATGATCAAGGATGCTCCTCGATGGTCCTCGCCGAAGGAAACATGCACACGTCCGACCGATGCTGAGTCCAAGAAGAGGGTTGCAAGTCATGGCCGGCGCCACGTCCCAGGTCGGGGGCCAGGGACGTCATGAAACAAGAAGAGGGGCCATGAGATCTGGGGAACTGTCATGGCCCCGGCCATGACATCCACCCCCCCCGAGTCTTGTGGATGCCACGTGGACACCCTACCAGTCCGATCGTCGAATCAAACATGTGTAAAATGTCGGACAATGCCCTGGAAATGTTTCAGCCATGTTCGTAACAACTGTAAAACAGTTCAAAGACATGTTTGAGACACCTGGAAATTGTTTGGCAACATGCTTCCTCTCCATTGATTGTCCTCCACAACCCTAGTCTTTCGGCCTGTCCCCCTACAGGGGTAGTTTCGACGAAAAATAAAAACAAATACCCAAAAAATACCCCCAAAAAGGTCAAAACATACTCAAAACATAGCACATAGGCCCCAGATTACTGTTGGACTATGTTTGGGGGTATGTCAGGGGTACTCTTCATGCTTCGCCGAAAAGCCCCCTGCAGGGGGACAGGCCCGACTTAACCCCAGTCGTCGCCCCCCTCTTTTGAGGGATGAAAAAACGACCCTACCCTGGGTTACAAGTGCATGGTCTGTAAACCTCCTGGGAACCCCCAAAACCTAGAGCCGCCAGGACGCGGCACATCACGCAGTGTTTACCCCGTCAGCCCACAGGAGTTTCAGCGCATAGCGCCTCGCAAACCAGGGTAGGGGCGTTTTTTTTATCCCCTTGACTCTTGGCCACTCCCGACACAGCATATAGCATATAGGCCCCAGATTATGGTTGGACTATGTTTTAGAGTATGTTAGGGGCATTCTTCATGCTTC